TTTTATACACTAATGTAGAATTAACTTTTTTAAGTAAGTATATACATAGACCTAATGTATTTTCCAAGATTGCTTTATTGATAATGATAAACGTCTCTGTTTTATTATATAATTAGTGTGTACAGTATATAATTAGTACTTAGTGTGATGGACCCATTGAACCACTGCAGATTTACCAAGAGGTTTGACAAACATACTCATGCAAGAACATAGACATCCCCTCGTTGATTATTCATATTATATTTTACATTTGAGTAGTCTAAACAGAAACAGAATAAACAAATCGTTTTTAAATTAAATTATAACTTGAGAGGCAACTCAAAGGGGTCATTTTACCCAATTTAACCAGTGGGACATGCGTTGATCAGAAACGACATCTAGTGGTTTAATTCAGTATTGGAATAAGTTGGAGAAAAGGTGAAAACGTTTTTTTTTTTTTTTTTTTTTCAGGGTTAAAACTAGAAAAATAAGATATTACATTAGATAGTAATTTCACAAATTTTAGAATAAATTGATCATTTAGAAAATACAATATGTAATATAGACAATATAGAGAAAAATATGTATTTTCGTTATTTATTTTATTCTGAGAAAAATATCAATCTTAACGAGAAGGTAAAATAAGCTGAATAAAATATCGAGCTTTTCAATTTTTTTAGTTTTTTTTTTTTTTTTTTTTTTTTTGTCCATAAAAAAACTTTCACGTCGGGTCAGATTTGTTGTTTTCGTTACTTTTTTAAATATTTTTACTTAGAGTCTCCCATTTCTATATTTCTTAATTACCAATGCATGAAAAATTTTCAAAAACCCAAAGTAAAGTTAGTTTCCTGCAGAATAAAAACAAATTGGTGTGACGCGGGAACCACATAGCGACGTCAGAGTGAACTCATTAGCATCGGATGGACGTAAAGCGTTTTTTGAGACTGGACGCTTCAGTAATATTCTACACAATTTCCACAGGTTCTCTGAACGCGGCACTTGTTGCAAAACTTAATCAAAAGTCAACCGAGAGATTATTAAGCAGCGGTTAACTTGACATATTTTAGTTAGCTTTATATTTAGTAAAAATGTAATGTGGATTCTCAGACAATCAGCTACTGTTACTTCGGCTAACGCGTTATTAGCTTTCCCGGTTGCCACTGACATCATTTGTTGCGATGACGACACCGAGAAGGCTGCGTAACTTTCTACTTGTCGGACTTAAATGTGCTTAAATAACATTTACTATGGATGGTGAGCGGAGCAATTGCAGGCCTCAACTGAGAGACAATAGTCGGCTAACCTAGCTAGCAGACTTGCCGTGGCTGCTAAGCTTGCTAACCTGATCTGCTGCTAGTGGAAGCTGCCGCGCTGAAAACGTCAAGGTATGTTGTTGGTGCAACCGGAGGTTGCCCCTGGCCACTTTGTTTTGCTTATCTTTTGCATGTGGGCATCTGTGAGGTTGGATAAGAACTATTTTCCAAACTTTACGCCGGTTTGTTTATTAGCTAACTCGCAGTTGCTAACTTTAGGCTAACTAGCTGTTAATCCTGAGAAAAGAAAAGTTTAAAGGGATGTAGGAGTAAGATAAAGTTAGCCAATCATGTGCCCCCTTCCCCCCCTTTTATTTTTTTGAAACCCTGGCTACTAACCTTTAATCTAAGTGCTGGTTGGTTATATAGATCTTTTCTAACATATAAGCCCAGAGCTATAAACAATCACAGCATATAGAATAAGAATACCAGTTTTCTGATAAACCTAATTTTAGTTTTTTTTTTTTTGCCATATATCAAAATTACCAAATGCTTGACATAAGTTTTCTTCAAATATTATTTTTTACGTTTGAATTGTATAACTGTGTAATAAATACATTTTGTTATTCTAATTTTACTGTGTTGCCCTTATATCTTTTTTGTACTGCCTGGATCTATCTTCCATTTGCACTATGTTGTAGTGTTTGCAAATTCAAGTTTCACGTTGCTGATGTTTCTTATTCTTCCCAGGTATCTGTGCCATGGAGCAGAAGAAAACAGCAGACAGAATCCCAGCGGCTTGCAGCCAGCAGGTGTTCCACGGTCAGGATCTGACTGTGATGGACCAAACCTCTGCAGCTCCAGAGCCTGTGACTGACATGTCTTTACAAACCAAATGGATCCGCAGAAACTCTGGAGAACTCCTCAGATCAGAAGAAAAACTCAGTAATGGCACCTTGAAACCTGAGGCTTCGGCACGCAGTCCAGACGAAGACAGGCTGTCTGCGTATCCAAGCAGTGAACTTTCACTGCCAGAGGTCTGCATTTCAACCAACAGCAATAGCTTTGAAGATGATATGAACTACGAGGTCCAACAAGCCTATAAGATATTCAGCGGTTTTCTGTTGGATAAGCACAAAGGGATCACCAGCACCTTTCTGCATCCTATCGGCCACCATGACTCCCAGCACGGTATCGAAGGCCTTCAGGGCCTTGTGAACTCTCAGCTCAGGCAGTCGATGTGCATGCGACGCATTGAGGAGAAGTTCATTAATCAGGAGTATGAGAACATAACAGAGTTTGTGGCAGACTTCAGGCTTATGTTAGAAAACTGTTACCGCTACTATGGGGTGGACCACTGGATCTCCAAACAGGCTCAAAAGCTGGAAATCATGCTGGAGCAAAAGCTCACATTGCTTTCCAGGTAAGGAAAACACCCCAAAGCAACTGTTTAAGAGACAAATGCCCACATTTCTTTAAGCAGCACATTGAATGCAGAACATTATCTCCATCTGTCACACAAGGGTGCTGCGAGAAAAGACGTCCCTGGCAGTAACTTCAAAAGGTCGTTTTGGTGCAGAGGAGGAGAGGGGCTCTGGGGGAACTTCCACGCGAAGAAGGCAGGCCTCACGTTATCTTGCTACCATCACCGGTGGGCCGCATGAGTCTGTCATGGTACGGGCGTTACGTCACGAGGAACAGCAGAGGGTCAAGGAGGAGAAGAGGTGAGTGAATTTTTCATATTTTGCCATGATTTGTTTATGATTTTAAACTAATGTGCTTTTATTAATGGCACCTTATGTGACAGACTAACAGGAAGTGTGTTTTTTTTTATCTGAAGTAGAAGAACAGAGAAGCTGTTTGCAAATAGATTTCTCAAAAAAAGTGTTATATGCATTGAAATACAGGACTCGGAGTTGGTGCTTTATAGAACCATCTTTCATTACTTTTACAGCTGCAAGTCCATTTTTGGATTCAGTCAAGGTCATCTGTTAAGATCCATATTTAAGTCTTGCCACAGATTATTAATTGCATCTGGGTCTAAAGTTTATCTGAGTCATCCTAACACACATTCCTGCTTTGATCAGAGCCATTGTTGCTCCTGATGTATGTTTAGGGTCATTGTCCTGAAGGAAGATAGACCTAAATAGTTTTTCTTTATTTTCAGTTCCCTCAATCTTCCCATAATTCCACACAGCATGATGCCGCCTCAGCTGTGTTTCACCAAGGCCATAGGGTAATCATGTGAATCTGCAGTAATAGCTTACCATCTTGCTTTATGTTCAAGTAGAAACATAATTTTTGTCTTCATTTCTTCTGAGTCACTTTATCAACATGCTGGTTGGATCTTCATCATAGCTTATGATAAAGTCTGAGTAGGTGTAGCTTAAGTCACTTTTTATTAAACAACAATCATTGTCACAGAAGTTGTCCTGGTGAGACATTTTACCCACCCAACCAGTGGATCTCTGCAGCTTCTCCAGAGTTGGCTGCTGCTCGCCTTTTCCTAATGCCTCTTTTCATTTTTAATTAGTTTTCTAGGCTAGAAGAAGTTAAAGGCTGGGATATCCTCTTATAACCTAACCATCCTCTAAACTCCTTCTTTTCTTTGGTTTTAATTAAAGTATTTGTCCGCTCATGTTCTCTAATCTGTCTTTTAGGCCTTAATGGAAGCAATGAACATATACTATGGTGAAAGGAATTATGGATAAACCAACAAATTGAGTTCTAAAAGCTGTTAGTTTTATTAAGGAGCTTTAAAACTAATGCGGCTGAATTTCAATTGACAACATACTTGGTCGATTTTCATTTCAAGATAGTTTAGGGCTGAAATGATTGAGATTAACAGTGATTAATCGATTATTGAAATAATCGACAACTAATTTAGTAATCTAATCATTAGCTGGAGTATAGAGACTCTAAAATATGTCTTTAGCTGACAGAGCAACCCACTTAGAGCTACCTTATGTGCTTGTACCAAAACTGTAAAATAAGGATATAAACATTTTGCATTTAAAATTAAAAAAATATATACATTTTTTTTGTCAGTCAATGCTCTGCATCCTGAACTCCTCAAGTGCAAAAGTTTAGTTGACCTGGTTTAATTTTCATCTGAAAAAATAAGCAATAGATTAATCTATTTGCAAAATATTCCTTAATTGCATCCTTAAATTTTTTTTTATTTTTTCTTCTACTTCAGAATTCATTTCTATGAAAACCTAATAGAACAAATTTAAGTTTGTAGTTTTAATGTGAACAAGTTCAGGAGATGTGAATATTTTTTGTTCCAAGTAAATTAGATAATCAATATCTTTCCTGCGCTGTATTTACAGGCAACGTGAGCTTGAGAAGAAAGAAGCGGAGGAAATGTCAGCCAAGGAAGTGGGAGAGTGGGAGCGCGTCCTGCTGTCGCAGGCTGCCCCCCATACAGTGAGCACCCTCTGGGAGCTTCCTGCCATCGGACACTTTCTCTGTCTTGCTCAGACTGCCCTCAACCTCCCCGAGATAGTATTTTTTGAGCTGGAGCGTTGCTTGTTGATGCCGCGCTGCAGCTTGCTCCTCTCCAAAGTCATGTCCTCCCTGCTGTCCGTGCCTCAGAGAAGGGCCACCCTGCAACGCCGACCTGCGCTGCCGTACCGCCGCTGGGAGTCAGAGCTGAGGCAGAGAGTCCTTGGCTGGTATCGAGCTGTCGGCACCTCCCATAATCAACCGCGGCGGGCTGAGCAGCTGGGACTTTGCCACCAGTTTTTCAGCGTCCTGGGGGAGGTGAGTCCACTGGAAGAGAAGCCCTTTCATTTGTTGCCCTTCTACCAGCGGGTTTGGCTTCTCAAAGGTCTGTGTGACCACGTGTATGAGACGCAGAAGGACGTGCAGGATGCCGTCCTGGCCCAACCCATCCATGAATGTAGGGAGTCTATTTTGGGCTATGATAGCAAAGAGAATGCCTACATACATTTCCCACATTTCTGTGGAGCCGACCTGAGGGTTTACTGCCAGAGCCCCAGTGCACCTCCAGCATTTCCTTTCCCATCTGTACTGGTTTCAAGGGTAGAAACGAAACCAGGGACAGAGGAGGAGGGGTCGGACGGAATAAAAAGCGAGTCGGATCCAAATGACGGTTATGATGGAGGTCAAATGGATACAGGACAGTCTGGACATTTCGAGAAGAAGACAGCAGGGGCAGACGGGGTTTTTAAAACAGAGAACGGGGATACATGCAGATTAAAATCATTCTCTGTGATGGATGTTTCTAAATCAGAATCCTGTAATGGTGACGCTTGTGAAGACTCTACATTAGATATTAAAGAACCTCCTAACTCATTATTCCTCACACAAGAAAGATTGATTGATTCAGACATCATCAAAACAGAAAGACAAGACCCCTTTCTGAATGTAGCCGAGCACAGCTACACAGACCGTTCGCCTTCATCTTCGGTTAAACTGGGGATCAAAACGGAGGACAGGAATTCATCTTGTGTAAATAAAACATCTCCCTGTTTGGATTGTTTAAAAAGAATCAGGTGCGAGGCCAAATCTCTGGAAGACGTCCACTGCTGTGGAAAATCCAGACCCGCAGCCTGTCTGTCTTCTCAGTCTACTAGGAACCCAATTGAAGAGAGGGAGGATGAGAAAATCTGGGCTAAAAAAAAGAAGCGGAAGAGACGGCAAACAAGGGAACTACTGCTGGGAGAGAAAAGAGACCACAAGCTTTTGCAGCACATGGACAGTTTGAGGTCTCCTCCAACCAGAAACATTACTACAGTCAAAAGAAAGGAGAAGAAGAAAAAATATAAAACAGGTGAGGTATATTGTTTTTATCTGGTTTATTTATAAAATTATACATTAAAGGTATGTTGGAGGATGTTCTTTTTCTTGTCAAACATTCTGGTGCTATGTTTATGTAAGGCCATCCTACGTGCTCGTCTCCGTTTTCACTTACCGGTGGTGAGTTTGACATTGTGGAAAAATTGCAAATCTTTTGGACAGTAAGCTTGTATAAGCGATGCAAACGGCAACTTTTAAATAGAGCATGCACCAGGAGAAATGGGCTCGTGCACGCTTTGAGAGGCGTTCCCTCTCGTGAGCGTGTGCAAGATTGTGCATGTGCATAAAAAAAAAAAAAAAGAAGTGCAGGCCAGGGCAGGTCTTTTCAGAAATTCACAAGAATCCTCCATAATACCTTTTAATCCCAAAATGATATAATGGTTCAAACACCAAACAGTACTGCTTTGCTTCATAGGAAAAAAACCTGATATGTTGACAGAAGTGAAGGATGAAACTCCTCCTGCACCATCATTCAAGGTAGGTTCTACACAATCAGCATATAATCATTAGCATAAGGAAGTGATGCAAAACAAATTATACCAGATTCAGGGCATGTAGTTTATGTTGAGATATTTTTAAATGTATCATCTTGGTTGTCTTTTTCAAGTTTGTCATGTTACATCTGCAACCCTTTGAATTTATACCTCCACCTGCTTTACACATTTACAAACTGAAAATCTTAGCTGTCCTTTTAACAATTGTTCCAATTTGGTCAGATTTTTTTATAACGCTCTTAAAAGAAAACATGAATCTCTTTTTAGATCAGCTTTGGTCCTTTTTAACACATTCCAAATGGGTCTATCTTGTCTTCATTGGAGCTCAGGCTGTAGGCTTAAGACTGGGTTTGGCTTAATGTAGTTCTGTGTATAAATGAGACTAGTTGAGCCCAGACTTTAGCTTTTCTTCTCCCTTTGCACTAAATATTCTGGCCAAATTAAGGGGGGGTGTGCTGTTTACAATCTATTGATCAGGTTGATATTTATGGTCCAAATTAGGGCTGAACAATTAATCGGATTAATCGTGGTTAATCGATTATTTAAATAGTTTGAATGAACAAATCATTCAAATGTGGTAACGATCTAAGTCAAGTGAGAGTTTTAGGTGTAGATGTAACAATTTGGGGCAAAATTTGCTGCTTGGTGAAAGTCTGCGCTCTCCGAGTGCTTTTCTGTTTTTTATCTATTTAAATTTTTTTGGGTTCTCTGTAGTTGGTGTGCAGCAATCTGGATGAACTGCGAGAGCTGATCAGTAAGACTGAAGACGAACTCGATGAACTGGAGAGTATGAAAAAGAGACCAGTAAGAAGTTACCCCTCTTCTGTCAATAGAAAACATTTACCAATGGAAAGCGCAGTGACTGACTTTTCCCTCCTTCCAGGGCCGATGGTACTACAAGAAGGAAGCTGTGAAGGAGCTCCATAGCACTCTAATCAGACTTCTGAATGAACTTTTACCCTGGGAACCAAAACTTGTAAAGGCCTACCAAAGAAACAGGTCACAGATTTTCTCCAGATATTTATAATCACTGCTGAAGATGCTACTTCCTTTTATGGTTCCTCTCAACTCTTTCTCATGTAGCACCATTAAACAGAACATAGAGCTGATTCTGCTGGGTTTTTATTCTGTTTCCCATGCAGGCTTCGTCTAAAGAAGGAGTTTGATGATTTCAAGAAGCATCCAGAGTACAATAACTTTGTGCGTGAAGAGTGTGTGTCATCCTCTTCGTCGTCCTCATCATCAGAGGACGATGATGATTACAGAAAAGCAGAAGTGGACAATATTGATGGTAGAGATTTAGAAGAAGACGATCAAGAACATGTTCCCAGAGGCCTTTGGAGTGGAGGTAAACTAATAAAGGCTAAAAATACTTGAACTCTTCGTGACGGTGACCTCATTAGAGCATTGTTCTTCTTGAAAGCCCATCAAACATGAATGGAAAAACAAATGGTTAATCAGTCATTTTTATTGGGTTAACATGGGGATTTAAAGTTAATGATATTTAATAAAAATCATCTTCAAGCAATCCTTCAGCAGAGGCATTGCTTAGCTTTGTCAGGGAAAATTAAAGGCAGCGAGTTGAAAGCAATTTTTTGGTCAGTCACAGGGCTTTGCCAAATACGCAGTCGTTATCGGACGTTTCTTACATCTCTTCTTGTTTTGATGTCTTGCTTGCTCTTTGAATAAAATCGAGAAAGCGTTTCTTATATACTAGGGATGGAACGGTTTATGAAAACCATCCGAACCGTTCGGTTCGACTGTCTCGGTTCGATTCGCATGTGTTGCATTCGGTTCATGCGCGGCTCCTTTTTCTCATAGGCGAAGCGTGTACACTCCAGAGCAGAAGGTGGCGGTACTGCGACCAAAGCCAACCACCAGTAGTAAACAACAAGAAGAAGAAGAAGCGAAGCAGCGTAGCCGGGTGTAGCAGAAAAAAATCAGTTGTTGTGGAGAATTGTGTGGGTATGGGGAGTGTGAAAGAACAGGAGTTGGAAGACGCGCCAGCAGCACTTTATAGGTCTGCTGTATGGGACCACTTTGCATTCAGAGCGACCTACGGTGACGGCGGAAAGAAAGTTGTGGAGGTCGTGTCATACAGACCAACAGGATGCATTCCTGTGGATGAAAATCCACTTGCACGGTGGAGAAGCAACGAGCATAAGTATCCTCATACTGCTAAATTGGCTCGACGTTACCTTGCAGTCCCAGGTACATCCGTACCAAGTGAGAGAGTTTTCTCTACAGCAGGAGACATTGTCACTGCTAGTAGATCTCGTCTTTTGGCAGAGAATGTGGACAAACTCCGCTTCTTGCAGAAGAACATGATAATAGAATGAGCAGAGCCTTGTTGTTTATAAGCAGTGCAGTATGTGTTAGTTTGGTTTATGCTATATTTTATATTGATGATTATAATATATACTGGATTATTTATTTTGTTATTTTAGATAACACAGTTGCACTTCAAGTTTGATAAAAAAAAAAAATTCAGCCTTATTTATTTGATTGTATTTCAAACACTGCAGAACAAACTGAGTTTGGATAATCAGGGAATTGAAACATGTCAATTTTTTCTTGAGTTTATTTCAAACAAAGGGACCTAAGTCTAGTTTTGATAGAGCCTATGCTTCTTTGTTAAAGATTGTTTGCCAAATAAATGAAGCACATGTTGGAACTAGCACTGTCTCCTCTCTTGCAATGCCAGAATCTCACCTACTTTTAACCCAAGACTGTCACAATGATGTATCAAATGTCAGACTGCTGTTTTCTTTCAGTTTTAACCTGACTATACAAGACATACCGTAATACATTTTCCTAACAATCAACATATACCGAACCGAACCGAAAACCGTGACCACGAAACCGTGAACTGAACCAAACCGTGGATTTTGTGAACCGTTCCACCCCTATTATATACAGAGTTAAGAACAATGTTATAATAAATGTTTTCATATGAGAGTAGTATAGTTTACGTCAATGAAATCTGCTTTTTTATAAACAATGAATTAACGTAAAATTTGTGTTTTTTTGCATAACCTGATGGGCTTAGCAAAGCCTTTTTTTAGAATTTTTTTATTTGTGTTTTAGAAATTAATTGGGAAAATTTAAGGCTGCAGATTTTTAAGCTATTTCGGCAACAAGAGCAAAGAAAATCCCTTTTCTTAATGCATGCCTTATTCAATCAAGTCTATTGAAGTGTTGCATTCAAATCTGCTTACAGAAAAAAGGTGAAGATTTGTGCTCTTTACCAGGAAATTAAAATCGATGCCAAAAAAAACTATATTATAGGTTGTATTTCTATTAGCAAGAATGAACTCGGCTATTGAAAAACTCTACCAAATGTTCTTTTTTTCCCCAACAGCGACTAGACTTGTTTAGGTTCAGTAGGTTTTAATGACTTTCTTACTCTATTCCATTTTCTTTCACCTATTTTTAGTGTGTATAGTGGCAAGGGTAAATTAGGTCCTGGACCAGCTTTGTTTTGCACAGTTCTGTTGGCAATTTTTCTAATCTAAACACTGTTTCTCAAAACAGTCAGAGCTTCTGTTCGTTAAATTAGTGCACAAATGAATGTTATCTAACCCAATTTAACCATATTTTATAGTTGTTAAAGGCATTATTCGTTAATGTGCAAACAGTCTAGAAATCTAGAATTAAAAATGGCGGAAAAAGTCAAACATGTTTATTTAGTATGGATACCATGCCAAATTGTTGATGCAGTTAACGTTTATTACAAACCTATCAATTTATCTCTAATGTTAAATTTCTTGTTGTTTTCTTAGCAAGCACTAGAGAGCCCGGTGCAGAATCTGCTGAAGAAAAGGCCGTGACTGGTTCCCCTTCAAACCAGCTTAAACCCCCCCTGCTCAGCAAAGAGAAAGGTTTTGCTCTGTTACCAGGAATCCATGGTGTTTTCACCAGCACTGCTTCAACAGATTGGAGGAGAGAAACGAGATCTGGAATAATCTCACTGAATCCATCAGGAGATTCGTCATGGATGGCAGGAAAACCGTCTCATACATCAGTGTCCCCCACCTCTCCCATCATCAACCCGACCTGTAAACTCCCCCCAGGCTACACACCCATTCCCACCCTACTAGCTAAAAGTGTAGGCAACAAAGTGACGTTGATGAGAAGGCCCACAGATTTCACATTTGATAGGCAGCTGAAAGGGTCTCACCCCAACTCTGTAGTGGTTAGTCCAAAAGCACAAAATTTTCCTTCCAGTGATAACCGTTTGTCCCAACCAGTGACAACAAAAGCACCACTGCAGACTATATCAATGGGAGCCCTTCCAAGGTCCCCACAGGGGACTGTATCCCAAACTGAGCAGGAAAGCCCCGTCCAAGTGGTGTGTAAGGTTTCTGAGATGATTAAAAAGGACAGCAGCAGCTCAGCCAAGATCCCTTCTGTAGTGGATAAGAATACTGTGGAGAAGGTTATGCACCAGGTGTTGTTCCTGCCTTCCAGCCATGTCGTCCAGAAAAATGAAACAAAGCCAACTTTTGTAAATCCACAGCAGTCTGTCATTCAGGTTGCAGTTTCTGAGGCGGCCACTCCTGTTTGTATAGCGACCGATGTGCCTGGATTCAGCATCCCTGATGGTAAAATCCCTGTTCAGCAGGTAGCCCCACTTACAAATGCAAGGACGCAGGGGAATCCTGCTCCCTCTGGTTCCCAATTCCTTCAACAAGGGGCCTCAAACTTGGTGAGACCTAAAGGGGGGCAGGTTTGCACTGCTAAAGCCAGCACACTAAAAGGTGGCTTGCCATCCCCATCCGCCGTCACAACGGCTACCAGAGCAGCCGCTGCAGAGACAGTTACATTTTCAGAACCTAAACAGGAGCTGAAGACAGTCTGCATCCGGGACTCTCAGTCCATCCTGGTAACGACTAGAGGGGGCAACACGGGCATCGTCAAAGTGCAGGCGTCCTCAGAGCAGAATTCACTGGGTTCTTTCCCTGCAACTCCTGTTATTACCATATCTCCTCAGTTAAAAGCCTTCCTCGTATCTAAGACATCAGCGACTCTCGCTGCTACTGTTCCCTCTCCCTCTGTCTTGGACACAAGTCCATCTGTGGCCCAAACGCAAAAGCACGCTCCTTTAGTTTTAACAGCCCCCCAAACTGCCATCAATTCCACAACAACCGCAATCACAAGTAGCACCCCTGTAAAAGGGTCTGCGAGTTCTCCTTTTTTGCCGTCAACAGTGAAAAGCACGGTTGTTGTGCCATCCCTGAGCAGTTCTGGTTCTTCCAAACTCTCTGTGCAAGAAGCAGTCAGTAAGACTGTTGCAAAACGAAACAGTACAGAAGAGATATCCCAGGTTACTAAATACATCCTGGTGACTTCATCTTCAAGCCAACGCACGTCAGAAGGGACACCCTTTACCACACAATCCACCACCGGTTCAGGAGTTATACTCATTAACCAGGCGGGGGTGACAACGCCCACCACCTTCAGCGGAGCCGTTCCAAAGCACATGATGGGACAAGCGCCGTTAACAAATCCAGCTCCAAGAATGGGAAGAAGTCCAGCCAAACCTGCTGTGTGTGTCGGCTCGGAGGTGTCCAAGGCCTGCAGCAGTACTCCCCAAGCAGGTATGAGGTACCCTTGCAACAACTGAAAATGAACTTTGAAATATCTTTTGCGATTCTCTGAAGATCTTTCAAAGTCTTTCTTTGTACGTTAGCTATGTTTTTGAATTCATTTATAGCCCTGTCTTGTGCTTGAATGTTTTCAGATGTTAATGCGTCTCGCAAATTAACGTGATCTAATATAAAACTGTGTTTGAACAAGAAATTACAGTTTTTTTTTCAGACTGGTAGTGCACCCTACTGAGTTCAGTCATTTCAATTAGACACAATCGAGCACTTGTCAAGTTGTGTAAAGCATCTACACTAATAGAGGTAGAAAACTTTCAAGTGACATAATCAAGAATCTAAATGTCAGACCTTTAACTTTGAACAGGTTGACAAATCACTAGAAAACTTTTTAGATCTTACATTTAAGTGTTTGTCGAGTTAAAAGAGGTCATTTAAGAGTTTTGAGAAACCAAACAGAACGTAAAAACTTTGGGGTCCTTCGGGGTACACTAACCCTAATTACAATGTGTGCTCTATACTGTTTACTCAGTTTATAACTAAAGGACTTGCTCTGGTAATTGAATTACATATAACAAGTAAATTCCTTTTATATTTATGTCTTTGTCTCACCAGGCATTACAGTCCCATTGTTAGGAAAATCCACAAGAATTGGGCAGACTATCGGTGCCCTGTCTCACTCCCCTTCGAAAGTCTCACCTGTGCCTTTGTTAGGCTCCTTGGGTCACACAGCTGCTACCACTACTGGACTGGTCCCCATGACAAATTTATTCCCCATCACAAATAGTTCCTCCCACATTGATACTCGCACTTCTCTCTCTGCTGTTTCCCCAATCATGAGCATCTCTTCCACCTCTGTGATCTCACAAACAAGCCGCCAATCATCTGCTACTGCCGTTCTGCCCCCAGAAAAAACAAACAGGAAAGAACTCTGCAACCCTGCAGCCACACCGCTCAGCAGCTCTTTGGCTCCGGTAACAGCGCCCTTGAGGAATTGCCTGGCCCAAACGCGCACAGCCTTCCCCGACCAAAAGCTGTTGCATAGCAGAAGTACCCCAGCTGCATCAACCTCGGCGTCCTCAAACTCAGCTTCTGGCCCAGCTACACAGAGGATAATCCTCAACACTTCCACTCACCTCACTGCTGGAACACAGATCGTCCTTAATAACTCCTGCTTTGTAGTCCCACCACAGGGTTTGGGTCCTGGCAGTCATGTCCTTATCATCTCTAATCCTGCAACACAAATGCCTGCAGCCACCTCTACTAATTCTGAGGCATTTTCACCCCCTAAAGGAACAAGCCCTGCCATTGTAACTTCTCAAACAGCAAGTTTATCCCAGTCTGCAGCCAGGCTGCCCAGCATGCCAGCTGTAAGTTCTCAGTTTGTAGCTTGCACCCCAGCGCTTGGTCAATCCTTGCTGGCAAGCAGTGCTCATGTCACACCGTTTCGACTTACAGGAGCACCTGGCATGTGCTCAACAGGGATTCCCAGTAAAACAAATGTAGTATCAGCTCTACCTAGACTCCCATCTGCTCCTGGATGTACATTTGTGTTACCTCCTGTTTGTGCATCCACTTTAATCTCTTCCCCACCAAGGTTATGCAGTGTCCCTGCCTTAGCTTCACCAGTTACAACTACCCCCCCTTCTCTCAGCTCAGCGCTCACTACAATCAGAGTCCCTGGTACAGCCACATGTACCGTAACATCTGCAGTATCCACCTCTGTGCCCAAATTGTCAGAACCTCCATCAGCCTTGCCTGCTTTACTCAATTCATCAACAGGTGCCTTTTGTAACCCTGTCCCTGCAGCTATCCCCTCAGCCGCAGCTTCATTAGTAACAGACTCAGCAGTTTTGCATCGTTCCCCCTCTGGCCAGCAAGCGGGGCCAGGAAAAATGCCGCTAACAGCAACGGTGCCAGTTGTTCAGTCTGGTACTCGGACACAGGAACTGCCAACAGTGGCCGTCCAGCCGATTTTAAATCTGGCATCCAGGACCCAAACACTGCCCGTCGCCACTGTTCAGCCAATTGGAAGCACTATCAGCACCTTTGAAATTTCTTCCCCACCAGCTAGCAGCACTCTAATAACCCCAACTCCACCAGTTGCAACAATGATGAGTAAAAGCTCCATCAGTCAAACTGTTTTAGCGACTAGCCCAGCACTTAAGACAAACACTGTGGAGACATCAGCTTTGGGTGTGCATGCCAATTTACCATCCAAGCTGCTCATCAGTACTGATGGTGCAGTGTTGAGCTCCGTTCAGCCAGAGAGGACTGCATGCCCCAAACCACGGAGTACTCTGGTGGTTTCCCTCAACACCTCCGGTGGGGTACTACAAACAAATGATTCCCATTTACAGCCTCACGGTGGAGACACAAAGTGAAACTGCTAAAAATAAATAAAAGATTAAGTCTATCTTTTTATAGGTTTAGCTAGTAGTTCGTCAGGACGCCGCTTCTAGTGAAGGCTGCTTTGGGCCGTCCTTCAGTCCACCTCACATTTTTAGCACCAAGTTGATTTTCCGACCCGATCGTATGATCTTTCATATGAGACGGCTGATGACACACTAACACAATAGATTTTACTGACTTTCTGGAGTTCCAAATAAAAAAAATGAATGTTGCAAACTTTTAGAAATGCACTTCTTGGCCAGTTTTTACAGCAACCAGTTGGATGGAAGTGTATGGAAATAATAAAGTCAGTTCTAGATAAATGTTTGAGATGTAATTGGTTTACTGTTGTTTATCTCTCCTACTAATTACAACTGCCTACATTCGTTTGTCCTGTCTTTTTTGTTTTTTTTACATAGTCTTGGAAAACTGTATTTACTTTTTTTTTGTAGAAATATGAACTAATAGATTAATTTGTACAACATGTTTGAGTCCATTAACTGTTTTGAATCACATTTATTTATTTTTACCATATAGATTTAAAAAAAAAAATTTACTAGGTACATTTTCATTGATGAGCTATGGACAATACTGCATGGAAATAAACAATGCGACTGTCCCTAAAGTGTGTTCATGTTTTTTTTTTTTTTTTTTTTACTGAAACAGTCAAATCATTTGTTGTATCTTTATTCATACGTAGATTTTTACAAAGCAAAAAAAACTTTTTATTTTATCCTTTGGTGCAGTTAAAATATGAATCATGCTGACAATGACTCGTATTTTCAGCCGACGGGTCAAGTTCTGATGTAATGTCTTGAGATTTTCCCGTTTCTCTAGATGTTGGTGAGTCCGTCCCTCAGGGGGAGTAAGGAGGTGGCAGCGCTCCTGGAGACAGCTTCTCATAGGCTGGAGGAGCATTAGGCACCTAGGGTAGAGATTGAAAAACATCAGAATATTATAAGTCTTTGATTTGCAGAGAAATGTAATGCTTTTAAAATGTTACCTTAACCAGAGCCACATGGTTTACATAGTGTGCACTTTGACACCCCTACTTAAGATGTGTATAAAAGCTTTCAAAGTCATCTTATATAAAGATATTCTTGTCTAACAAAAAAAAGGAGACACCCAATCCTAATTTGTGCATCACTTGTGCCACAATCAGTTGATCAAATTCATTATTTCGTGTTTTACCTATGATTTATCACAGATGAGGCCTTATGATGGCAAGCATAACATTTAAAAATGCAAATATTTCAAACCAACAAGACATGCAGGATTTATTCAAGTTAACCTCAACAAACATCCAACACCACTGGGGCGACAGTGGTGTCGGATGTACTGTAGGAGTTTGCCCTGAAATCAAAGGATTGACGGTTCAAGCCCCGGCTCCGACTTTTAGTGTCGTCGTGTCCATGGGCAAGACACTTCACCTCCATTGTCTATTCATGGTGGTCAGAGGGCCCGGTGGCGCCAGTGTACGGCAGCCCCGCCTCTGTCAGTGAGCCCCAGGGCAGCTGTGGCTACAATGTAGCTTGCCACTACCAGTGTGTGTGAATGAATGAATGAATGTAGTGTAAAGCATGAGAATGTTAACGGAGAAAAGCAAACTATGCTCTCCGCAAACTATGGCCTTTAAAGTGACCATCTGGTCAGATGATATTAAGATTTTTCATACGGTGGAGGATCTTTGGTACTGGGAGCTTGTTCGTCTTCCAGGACCTTTAGAGACAAAGTGTGTGGCCCAACGGAAAAGAAAGGGAACTATAGATGATATAGAGATGGTTAAGTAATTAATAGTCAAATATATAAAAAAAAAAGTGAATTTAAGCTGCTGAAATGGGATGTTATTTATTGGAAAGCTTATTTCACATCTTTACTAAGGGTGCCAAAAACTATAGTTGGTTCTGTAAAATAAAAAAAAAAATGTTCTGGTCTGAGCTTCCCCTATGCTTGCAGACCTGAGTGCATTCACTTCCATTAGCCAGGGGACATTTTTAATACCTAGGCATAGTCTGGTGACTTAATAATCTCCCTCAGGCATCTACTGCATTGCATCAGCTTTGCATGTACGACTGTTCTCAGAACTTTGGGGATTTATCAGTTGCTTATTTTTTTATTTTTTTTTTTCTTAAATACATACACACACACATATATGTGTGTGTAAAAAGACCATATAAGGCATAATATAAGTATTCATCCCTCACCACAGATCGGAGGCTGCCAAAGTCAACAAAAGCCATTTTGTTGTCTGCTGAAGTTCCTGCCTCAGAGTAGTGGCCTGCTGTAAAAGCTGCAGATCCTGACCCGGTGTTCTGCAGGTGAAGAGAAAATATGTGAGGTGTTGCCAGAAAAAGACGAAGAAAGATTGTAAAGACATATGATATATTCCCACACGGAGAGTGTAAATAACTTAAAAGGATAATTGAAGTGAAGAGTGGTGTTCTTACCCTGATTATTTTGTAGCCGCTTCTCTTCTTGAGGTACCAGCAGCCCAGGAGGAAGAGGCCAGCCAGGACAACAACCAGAAGGCCAATTCCTACTGCTCTGAAATACAGTTATACATAAACTTATCTGTTAGTTTAAAATGTTTATCCAGAGCTTTTCCCCTCCAGTTTGTGATTTAGAATATATTGAAGATTCCTAAAAGTTAATTTCAACATAGGAGTTCAATAAGCCCAGTTTGAGAACCAGAGCTTTGTTTAAGGTCTGTGCCGCTTCATTTTCATAACCTGATAGATAATCTCTTACTCCTCAGCTCTGACGTATCCCCTCCTTCCACTGGTGAAGTAGATGTTGAAGTCTCCACGAGGCATTCCTGCTGTACGATTGCACAACATCAAGCTGGAAATCAACCAGAAACAGCTTTAAATTAAGGAATAAAAAAGTTCATTTTCACAACATGTGGTCCAAGTTTTACATTTTGCTTTCATTAAGTAAAAGGACATATTTTGAGTTAATTTTATTCACTGCATAACTCCATTTTACATGCTGTAACACTACTAAGAACTATTAAGCTGAAAGGAATATGCAGCAGTTACATCCTGCGATATCAGTCTATTATCCTATCATCATAAAACTGTTTATAGAATTCTTATTCTCAGTATTTGCACACAATTATTTCAAGTAAGCCTATTTTTCTAACATTCAGTTGAATTGATTGCATAGCATATTTGAATGTTTGATGTTTTTTTCTGTCAAATTTCATTAATTTAAGAAAATAAATACAATTACCGGTATATAAACAATTATGTCATCAGAATTGTCAGGAAAATTGGCTTTTCAGCAGTGAACACCTGTTGAAGCTAAGGATGAAGCTGCCTCTTTCATCTGTCATGTTTTGGAAATTTTGATAAATTAAAACCTTTACCTATTATTAAATTTAAACTCAATTTCACTTCATTTGATTATAAAAAAAGCAGAAAGATTGTTTTCTTACCTGATTATTCCCAGATGGTAGGGCACGCTCCTCCTGATTGGAGAGCCTCCTCAGACTGTGGCTACCAAGCTCTGTGTTTCTTCACTCCTTAAGGGTCTTTCCTCAATCTGTGGGAATTCAGAGAGGCAAAAAAAAATTCCTCATGACCGTCACGGGTTAGAGACTCATGGTTAAACCCATTGAAACGGAGTAATTACCGTGAAACCCCCGCGGCCTTAAGTACAACACCCCTGTCCACTCGTGAAACTTTTAAGAGTCAGCTGCTGGCCTTTCATGTGAAAGATAATGTGCTTTTTTGTTTTTGAGATGTCTAAGAACTGCATTAAACTTAGATGATTCCAGAAAATAATCATGCTCCAAAATATTATGGTTAAGCTATCTTTTAGGTTATAACATTTCCTCTCCAATCTTGTCTCATTTTTTTAAAAGAAAAAATAAGTTTTACCATGTTTGGCAAAACATGGTCTTTCATAAGCTCTGCAGTTATGACTTCTGATTTAGTTTTCCCTGTGTTCATCTATAAAAGGGAACATCTTTCCCATAAGAGATGAGATGAACCGCAGTCTTAGGGTGAGAACAGCATTCAAGTCTGTTTGTATGCAGGCAACATATTGTTTGCATATCAGCAGCAATTTATGTTTAAATTCCCACAGATACATTCGAACCTCATTTAAATCTAAAAAGAATTAAATAGATTTACACATTATCAATATTATATTAAACTCATCAAATAATGGTCAAGATGACATGTGGACTGGATAAGCATTAGAAACAGAAAATGCATCAAAGTTTTGGAATATTGGGAAGTACTAATGTCATCTCGCAAAAGCAAGAAGTGTGTTGTCAAGGGGAGTGTTGGCCTAGTGGGTTTAGAGCAGTGAATTTGTGCTCTGAGAAGGTTGCAAGTACCTGGTTCAATCCCCACAGCCTGCCCTCTGTGCTGTCCAGTGGCAGCCCATTGCTCCCCAAGGGGATGGATTAAATGCATATAATTAATTTCTCAAATGTGTGATCAATTAAGTTCAATTATTACTGAAAAAATTATAGAAAAAGGAACTGCAATAAATGTGAGACATGGATGAAGATACCCCGCAAATTTTAGTGGCTATATTGGAAATGTACATTATTTAGCAAAAAAGGTGTCTGAAATCCAACATAACTAAACTTAACTAAAAAGAAAAATATACACTCATAAATGTTGCACACAAATTTGAGCATTTATGTGATTTTATTACACAAAAGATCTAATTTACTTTTTAACATTTTTGACACCTATTCAATAAACCAGACATGATACATGTGTATTTGTATTTATTTCAAATAAATAATCATCAGGTTTATGTATTTTGAATTGATAAGGTATACTTACTCTAAATGAAAACTTATGAATGTCCATCCATCCATTTTCTGATAAACTTAATCCCAAGTGGGGTCACGAGGGGTGCTGGAGTTTATCTCCAGCTGTCTACAGGTGAGAGGCGGGATACACCCTGGACAGATTCCCAGTTCATCGCAGGGCAACACAGAGACAAACGGGACAAACAACCATTTACACACTCATTCACACCTAAGGAGAATTTAGAGAAGCCAATTAACCTAACAGTCATGTTTTTGGACTGTTGGAGGAAGCCGGAGTACCCAGAGAAAACCCATGCATGCTCAAGGAGAACATGCAAACTCAAAAAGTGTATGTTTTCTAAATTACTTATGAATGTATTTATTTAAAATACTTGAAGTTTATTGTTTGAGTTGCACAAAGGTAACCCTGATTATTATCCAACTGAAAAAATATACTTTATGTATTTGAAATAAATATTTGAATATTCATCATGAAAG